TCAACTGCTGCAACCAACGACTACGCACGTATGGGCATGTCTAATGTAAAATGGCGTAAATGGGATAACATCAAAGAAATTTCCTGTAACGATGCCCTTTACCCTACTAGAGCATGTGATTATTATTTTACCTCTCCACTTATTATTATTATTACGCAGTTAAGCAAGTCTTACTATACTTGTGCCCCACCCCAAGATAATACAAAGGCTGATGACCCCCCCCCCCTTTTTTTCCCTTTTTTCCCTCACCCATGTTGTCTTTGTGTACGCGCCTCTGCTTGAAGTCTTCATCATCATCATCATTAATTGCCTTTCCAACTGGCATGGGCGATCATGCCTCTCCACAATTTGCTATCTTAAACAGCAGGTGTCAGTTCCTCTGTTCACATCCCTCAGTGCCATGGTAAAAGGCTGTCAAGGATTGTCTCGCGTTGTCTTTCTTTGTCTGTCTTTTCAAAGATTTTTCCAGTGGTCACAACACATTCCAGTTTCTTTCTTCTCATAACATGACCAAAACATGACCACAAAATGACCACGGTCTCTTTCTGATATTTTGTGATAAATTGCATTCGAGCCCTCGCCTCTTTCAAAACATCAGAGTTGTGTTTCTTTGCTGTCCAAGTCATTCTAAGGATTCTTCTGTAAAACGACATGTTCGAGGCCTCAAGATCATATTTGGCCTGTTTAATAATCTAAAGGCAACAGTAATCATCATGATCAAGAAGATCGCAACCGACCAACTGTGACTAGCATCAGTTGACTATTCAGAAATCCTGGCTCTAGAAATTTTCTTGGCTGTATATACTGGGAGACGCCTGGGTAAAGGGAAATGAAAGAGCCGACAAACTGGCTGTGTCTACAATGGGTGGTGGAGGACGCAGTATGGACAGTGCAGACATACTGAATGTGCTGCTTTCTAGAGACGAAAGAGGTATAGATCGGAGACGAGGAACCGCCCATTGGGAAGGGGTATTGAACGAGGGCAAGCAGACATAGGCGGTTGCCGGGCTCAGAAAGAAAATATGTCCGTCAACTCTTAATGGGTACGTAGAGACACTGAGATGGCTGCTGCATCGCAGGATGGAGCGCGAGTGGGTCCAACCGATGTCGCGGGGGATGTCGATACAGACAACAAGTAACGGCTACAGATTCCCGCTGTGGGTTTCATGGTCCAGTGTATGGCGGAAAAGGGGGAAAAAAGGGGGGGGGGGGTAGACCAACTGAATCCTTACAAAAAAGCAGGTAGTTAAAGTCGACTACTTAGGAAGTGATTCCTTAGAATTCGGAGTGCATCTGCCTGAACCGCAAGGAACCAATAGTCTGTACCCAACAGGCCAGATCTGTAAAATGGATACGCAGGCAAACTTAAATCCTGGAACAAGACCAAAGTCTAGAGGTGGTCAACAACCAATTTGTTTCTGCCGAGTTTACAGCCTGTGAACGCAGAGTCGAGTTAGTGGAGCTCTTGCCTGGAGAAGTTCACTAAGTGTCGGGTCACAAACTCCGAGCAGGCTGGCGAGTGACAGATGGTGCTCTGTGTGTTGCTGGCGAGACACTCTAACTCTATTTATTGCAGGAGGCGTCTTTGTGGTGAGTCTAGTCCTGTAAATTAAGCTCACACAACCGATTATTTTATATGGATTGAGTCATCTGTTAAGACAAAGAAGAATTCATAAGATTAAAAAAAAAACAGTACAGTATTTAATAATGGAATGATGTCTCAGTGTGACTGTTTGTCAGGGAATGCGGTGTAACCACTGCTTCGACAAAATATTTCAACATACGACCTTCTTAGCTGATGAGGAACACAGTAATGTCTCGTTCAAGTCTGAAGCTCCACTGTCAACAGAGAAGTATTCTCATCACTTGATGTTTCAAGTTGCCTGTAGGCACCTTGGGAGTGAACTGAAGCCAGTGGTGTTGCTCACCTGAGTTGCCTGTAGGCACCTTGGGGGCGAACTGAAGCCAGTGGTGTTGCTCACCTGAGTTGCCTGTAGGCACCTTGGGGGTGAACTGAACGCCGGTGGTGTTGCTCACCTGAGTTGCCTGTAGGCACCTTGGGGGTGAACTGAAGCCAGTGGTGTTGCTCACCTGAGTTGCCTGTTGGCACCTTGGGGGTGAACTGAAGCCAGTGGTGCCTCTAAATAACACTAGAGGTAGAGGAGCTTTCCTAGTGTAGAGGTTAGCATGGTGACATCCTAACCTGGTGTTCCTGGGTTCAAATCTGCTTGAAGACAAGGATGTTTCACAGTTTTACCGAAGCTACCAGAGAGACCGTCTAAAGAGGAATCAGGAAGTGATGTGAGAAACAAAGGTAGCTCCCATGATTCTAGCGACATCACCACTACCAGCTGCTGACTGATTAGTCTGCAACAGATAGTGATGACATTAGCACCTTGTATCCAATATGACAAAGAATTATTTCTTCAGATTATTCAGTGTTGTGCCTAAACGTATTCAATGTTGTGCCTAAACATATTCAATGTTATGCCTAAACATATTCAGTGTTGTGTCTAAACATTTTTAATGTTGTGCCTAAACATATTCAGTGTTGTGCCTAAACATATTTAATGTTGTGCCTAAATGTATTCAGTGTTGTGCCTAAACATATTTAATGTTGTGCCTAAACGTATTCAGAGTTGTGTCTAAACATATTTAATGTTGTGCCTAAACGTATTCAGTATTGTGCCTAAACATATTTAGTGTTGTGCCTAAACGTATTCAGTGTTGTGCCTAAACATATTTAGTGTTGTGTCTAAACGTATTCAGTGTTGTACCTAAACATATTTAGTGTTGTGCCTAAACGTATTTAGTGTTGTGTCTAAACATATTTAGTGTTGTGCCTAAACGTATTTAGTGTTGTGTCTAAACTTATTTAGTGTTGTGCCTAAACGTATTTAGTGTTGTGTCTAAACATATTCATGTTGTGCTGTAAACTAGTGTTGTGTTATTCATATTTAGTGTCGTGCCTAAACATATTTAGTATTGTGTCTAAACTTATTTAGTGTTGTGCCTAAATGTATTTAGTGTTGTGTCTAAACTTATTCAGTGTTCTGTCTAAACTTATTCAGTGTTGTACCTAAACTTATTCAGTGATTTGTCTAAACATATTCAGTGTTGTGTCAAAACTTATTCAGTGTTGTACCTAAACATATTCAGTGTTGTGTCTAAACTTATTCAAAAAATAACCAAATGGAACAGAAACATCTGCATTGTTGGTTCTGGGGCTGCATTGTGTGGGAAACAAGATTAGAGCCACAGCCTCCTCTGCAAGCTTGTTGTAGAAGTCAGCTAATTGGGAGCTTGTCAGAGTTCATCTGTCTGAGAGGTAAAGAACCAACAGTCTGCATACAAATAAGTCAGATCAATAAAACAGATGTGGACACTACAATCCAGAAGTGGATAAACAACCAAAACTTTCTGCCACAGTTTACAGCCAGTGAACACAAAGAAGAAGAAGAGAAACAGTTAAAATAACACTTAAAATGGAGAGAGGTCATGTTATAGCCGTATGAAACAGAAGTTCTTGAACATTACAATACACTCTATCATCTACTGAATTTCCTTCGTCATCTGTTGACAAGCTTTTTTTTCTCTCTCTCTCACTTGTTGACAGTTTCTTCTGTCACCTTTTGACAGTTTCTAGTGTCATCTTTTGACAGTTTCTTCTGTCACCTTTTGACAGTTTTTTCTGTCATCTTTTGACAGTTTTTTCTGTCACCTTTTGGCAGTTTCTTCTGTCACCTTTTGACAGTTTCCTCTCTCATCTATTGACAGTTTACTCTCTCATCTATTGACAGTTTCCTCTCATCTGTTGACATTTTTTAGCATTCACAGTGCATTGCTGTTCTCCACTTCTTCCCGGTATCAGGGAGCTGACATGTGTGAACATAATTCACTTGGGTAGTTGATCAGTCTAGTTTTAATGTTTGACAGTTTCTGCCCTTGGGAACTTCATCCATCTAGTTGTGTCACTGTTTCTGCACTTGGAAACTTCATCCATCTAGTCGTGTCACTATTTCTGCCCTTGGGAACTTTATCCATCTAGTCGTGTCACTATTTCTGCCCTTGGGAACTTTATCCATCTAGTCGTGTCACTATTTCTGCCCTTGGGAACTTTATCCATCTAGTCGTGTCACTATTTCTGCACTAGGGAACTTCATCCATTTAGTTGTGTCACTATTTCTGCACTTGGGAACTTTATCCGTCAAGTTGTGTCACTATTTATGCACTTGGGAACTTCATCCATCTAGTTGTGTCACTGTTTCTGCACTTGGGAACTTCATCCATCTAGTTGTGTCACTGTTTCTGCACTAGGGAACTTCATCCATCTAGTTGTATCACTGTTTCTGCACTTGGAAACTTTATCCGTCAAGTTGTGTCACTATTTATGCACTTGGGAACTTCATCCATCTAGTTGTGTCACTGTTTCTGGACTTGGTAACTTTATCCATCTAGTTGTGTCACTATTTCTGCACTTGGAAACTTTATCCGTCTAGTTGTGTCACTATTTCTGCACTTGGGAACTTCATCCATCTAGTTGTGTCACTGTTTCTGCACTTGGGAACTTTATCCATCTAGTTGTGTCACTGTTTCTGTACTTGGGAACTTTATCCATCTAGTTGTGTCACTGTTTCTGCACTTGGAAACTTCATCCATCTAGTTGTATCACTATTTCTGCACTTGGGAACTTTATCCATCTAGTTGTGTCACTATTTCTGCACTTGGGAACTTTATCCGTCTAGTCGTGTCACTATTTCTGCACTTGGGAACTTCATCCGTCTTGTCGTGTCACTATTTCTGCACTTGGGAACTTCACCCGTCTTGTTGTATCACTGTTTCTGCACAGTAAAATGTCACTAGCATGTTGTTGATGTGTGGTTTTTTTCCCTCCAGCAGATATCTCCCTGCAACATTAAAAACTGCCGGACCAGATGCATTGACTCTGTGAAGCCCGTTTGGACATTGCAGCAAAGTGATACCATGGCATCAGACAGATCATGTCCCATGAATGCACACTGAAGTCCAGGCATCAGACAGGTCATGTCTCATGGAAGCCTGCTCGTTTGGGCTCAGAAATGTTTCAACGAACTGCTTCTGTAGTTCTGTGTGCTGCATATACTCTGATTCTCCTGGCTCTCTGCTACTGTCTACCGTTCTCGCAGCTGTACCGCAGTGTCCATAGTTACAAAGATCTGGTCCAGCAAGTAGAGACACAAAAAGATATTCGATCAGCAAAAGCTAAAGATTATTTCTCCAGTCTGAATCCTCATGAAACATTTGTACCGTCTCCAGAGTTCAGAAGGTTGCTGTACGCAGGCCATGCTGTACCCCATAGATGTGGTCTACAACCTTTCCCTTTACATGATCTCGCCTGCTGCTTCTTATCGAACAGATCTCGCCATTTTTGATTTTGCTTCATGGACTGGACTCTGGACCTATCAAGTGGAACCAAGTTTATTTTTGCACGTAGGTTTCCATTCTACATTACCCGCCTCCCAGAAACATCCAGAAGAATTTATTCATGGTGTTTAGCCATGCTGTTGTGTTGTCCATGCTGGCTGTACAGCTGGGCTGTTGTACTTGTTGGTTTTACAGCTGCACTGTTGTCTGTTTTTAGTACAGCCAGGCTGTTGTCCTTGTTGGTTATACAGGTGCACTGTTGACTGTTTATAGTACAGCTGGATTGTTATCCATGTATAGACTATGGCAGGGCTTTTGACCTTGCCCATACATCACTTGGATTGTTGACTGTTTGTAGTATGGCTGGATTGTTGACTGTTTGTAGTATGGCTGGATTGTTGACTGTTTGTAGTAAGGCTGGATTGTTGACTGTTTGTAGTATGGCTGGATTGTTGACTGTTTGTAGTATGGCTGAATTGTTGACTGTTTGTAGTATGGCTGGATTGTTGACTGTTTGTAGTATGGCTGGATTGTTGACTGTTTGTAGTATGGCTGGATTGTTGACTGTTTGTAGTATGGCTGGATTGTTGACTGTTTGTAGTATGGCTGGATTGTTGACTGTAGTATGGCTGGATTGTTGACTGTTTGTAGTATGGCTGGATTGTTGCCTGTTTGTAGTATGGCTGGATTGTTGCCTGTAGTACGGCTGGATTGTTGACTGTTTGTAGTATGGCTGAATTGTTGACTGTTTGTAGTATGGCTGGATTGTTGCCTGTTTGTAGTATGGCTGGATTGTTGCCTGTAGTACGGCTGGATTGTTGCCTGTAGTAAGGCTGGATTGTTGACTGTTTGTAGTATGGCTGGATTGTTGACTGTTTGTAGTATGGCTGAATTGTTGACTGTTAATGTAGTCTACGACTGAGGAGGTGAATAATGACAGATTCACTGACTGAGGAGGTGAATAATGACAGATTCACTGACTGAGGAGGTGAATAATAACAGATTTGAACATTTTAATAAGTTTAGTTGTTATTGATAGCAATCACATTTGGTTTTTGTGTCATTACACCAATCACAGATGGGGTCAGAAATGTTTTAGCGAGGTGCTACTAATGTGGGGACTTAATTCCAACATGATATAAGTCAGACGTGTCACAAAATGATTCCATGATATTTTGGTATTTCATTCCCCACGTGAGTCCTGGGGGCCAACTTGTGGGGAAAATTAATACACACACTTCCTCCCTTTCAAGCGTCTTATGTCAATCAGCTAATCTGGGGTTTCCATCAGAGCTGGAGTAAATCTACACCAGTGGCAAGGAACAACCAACTGCACACAAAAAACACAGAAAAAGAAAAGTATCTGGAGAACTGTTTTGTCTTTGTTCAACGCCAGTATGACATTTAGCCTTTGGTCGTATCTTTCTTAGCTAGAGTTTTATGACATACTATTTTGACCATTGCAACTTTTCAATACTATGATTATTTTTAGACTGTCTTTTTAAAATTATATCTTTTCTGTGATACGTGTATATAAAGTTGCCACTGTTCTATATTGCTATAGTGAAGTTTGTGTGCATATATCTGTTTTTAAGTCAGCTGCTACTTAGTTGAAAGCATCCTAGATGGTAATTTTCTCTTGTAACTTACAAACAATGGATTCACATGCGTAGATGTACACCACAATCTCCACATTGTACATGTTCTGATCACTTTCATGGTAGCCAAGAGCCTGGAAGTAGAGATGCCAGTCTGGCGTCAGTGTTGTCTGTCTGACAACAGTGTTGTCTGTCTGACATCAGTGTTGTCTGTCTGACATAAATACTGGAAAGTAGTCAGCATCACGGTGAGTGATGTGTGTGAAGGTTTGCTGTATGGCTGCACTCAGCCAGATCTGTGAAGGTTTGCTGTATGTCTGCACTCAGCCAGATCAGTGTGATGGTAGTCAGTGCCACGGTGAGTGATGTGTGTAAAGGTTTGCTGTATGTCTGCACTCAGCCAGATCTGTGTGGTGTTAGTCTGTGCCACAGTGAGTGATGTGTGTGAAGGTTTAATGTATGTCTGCACTCAGCCAGATCTGTTTGATGGTAGCTGGTGCCACGGTGAAGGTTTGCTGTATGTCTGCATCCAGCCATATCTTTGTGACAGTAGATGGAATCAAGAGTGTTCTCAGTGTAGGCCTGGTCCTGGCTTTGAGAGGGACCAAGACCATTCAGTGTCTCCCTCATGTCTGTTTCTGGTGAGGTCATCATCAATCAAAAAACCTGTGCAGAACGTTGCTCTCTTCACAGCTCGCCTGAAAGTCTCTCTCTGTTTCTATCCATTCTATAGCCCTGTGTGCTTTCATAGCCAGTGCATCTCCAGTATCTTGTATGGACTTTCTCGGTCAGCTTCTGCCTCTTTTTCCAGAAACTACAGCCTCCATCACCGTTCTCTCCAGGCCACTAGAGTTATTCCTTGCCACTCGCATAGATGTAATCCAACTTTGATGGAAACCTCTATTCTCTCCAGACCACTATGGTATTTAACATGGCCAAAATACCTCAGCTTTCAGGAGAAGATGCTATTTATGAGCCAGTTCACCTCATTTTTCAGATTATTTAGAAAAACAATGTTTGTCTTATTCTTGGTCCACAGTATTCTAAGATTTTTTATGTAGCATTTCAGTTCAAAGAAGGTAGGTGTGAAATATTTCTCTTTCTGGATATCTGACAGAAAACTCCTTCAGTTTTAGTATCTAAATGAGATATAAAACATCTTTGATAATGGCTGTACAACATCTGTGAAAGCAGATGAATAACATCTGTGATAGTAGATGTACAACATGTGTAACATTACTGGGACAACATCTGTGATAGTGGATGTACAACATGTGTAACATTACTGGGACATGTGTAACATTACTGGGACAACATCTGTGATAGTGGAAGAACAACATGTGTAACATTACTGGGACATGTGTAACATTACTGGGACATGCGTAACATTACTGGGACATGTGTAACATTACTGGGACATGTGTAACATTACTGGGACAACATCTGTGAAAGTGGATGTACAACATGTGTAACATTACTGGGACATGTGTAACATTACTGGGACAACATCTGTGATAGTGGATGTACAACATGTGTAACATTACTGGGACAACATCTGTGATAGTGGATGTACAACATGTGTAACATTACTGGGACAACATCTGTGATAGTGGATGTACAACATGTGTAACATTACTGGTACAATCTCTGTGAAAGTCAGTATATACCATCTGATACAGTAGTTGCACAAGCTCCTGAAACACTAGTTGTATAAATTCCTAAGACAATAGTTGTAAAACATCTGTGACAGTAATTGTACAACCTCTGAGACTGTTGTACAACCTCTGAGACAGTAATTGTACAACCTCTGAGACAGTAATTGTACAACCTCTGAGACAGTAATTGTACAACCTCTGAGACAGTAATTGTACAACCTCTGAGACAGTAATTGTACAACCTCTGAGACAGTAATTGTACAACCTCTGAGACTGTTGTACAGCCTCTGAGAAAGTAATTGTACAACCTCTGAGATAGTAATTGTACAACCTATGAGACAGTAATCGTACAACCTCTGAGACTGTTGTACAACTTCTGAGACAGTAATTGTACAACCTCTGAGACAGTAATTGTACAACCTCTGAGACAGTAATTGTACAACCTCTGAGACAGTAGTTGAACAACCTCTGAGACTGTTGTACAACCTCTGAGACAGTAATTGTACAACCTCTGACTGAGACTGTAGTTGTACAACCTCTGAGACAGTAATTGTACAACCTCTGAGACAGTAATTGTACAACCTCTGAGACAGTAATTGTACAACCTCTGAGACAGTAATTGTACAACTTCTGAGACAGTAATTGTACAACCTCTAAGACAATAGTTGTACAACATCCTGAAACAGTAGTTGTATAACAGTGCAATCTCCTGAGACAGGAGCTGTACAATCTCCTGAGACAGGAGCTGTACAATCTCCTGAGACAGTAGTTGTACAACTTTCTGAGAGAGCAGTTGTACAACATCTATGACAGTAGTTGTATAACATCATGTGACAGTAGTTGTACATCCTCCTAAGACAGCAGTTGTACATCCTCCTAGTACAGCAGTTGTACATACTCTTTTGACAGTAGTTGTACATACTCTTATAACAGTAGTTGTACATACTCTTGTGACAGTAGTTGTACGACATCTGTGGAAGTCAGTGTTCAAGCCCCGAGACAGCAAGAGCACAGTTCATGCCCGGATATGAAAACCTTTGTTTGCATTCCTCCAATCACAGAAACCTTGACCGCTCTCACCTGGACTGTCCCCCACAGAACTCTGTGCTCGGGTATATGATCTAGGTATGTCTGTAGCAATTACTAACATAGACCACACACACACACACACACACATGCTGTAAGGCAACAACGCATTGACTGATCTGTCCACATCTGTTGTATTCTCCTCTGTAACATCGTTTGGACACTTGATGATGATGTCTATGGCCTCTGATCATAAACGTGCAGCAACAGACACACAAAGCTCTAGTCTTGAAACGGCCTTGTCTCTCGCTGCCAACCACCAGCATCAGGCGGAGCAGAGGGTCCACCACGTGCTCATCTCCTAGGCGAACACCAGCCGGGTATTCAACACAAGCTGATGTGATGCTGCAGGCGGAGCACGGAGTCGTCAACCTTCAGGCCAGACTTTCACGAAAATAAACTTCTTTAACTGGGGTTTTTTAGAGTCTGGAGATGATCGGCAGACATGTCTCAAGCAACAGACTCTAATGGTTGGTCGTGTAGGAGTTCTTCCCGTAAAAATGAAATAGTTCATCATTGTAGCTTGCCGGGTGTGGTGTAGGTTTGAAGACTCGCCTGGGCATTCTCTCAATGTGTGAGACTTACCTTGCTGTGATGGGGTGGTGCTTTCATAGATGATCTGTCACTACGGTGATGCTGTGGCAGATGTTGCCACTATGTGAAGAATTTGGCCATTGTCCTGCTGGTTGGCTTCGGCGGGAGTACGGGAGCTTCCATCACAGAGTTGACAATCTTGCGGTAGTCGTTGACCACACCCTGGTCGCTGAGCAGTTGTCCGTGCGAGTAGAGTTTGAACGAGGGGATGTTTGTGATGTTCTCGGCCAGGCACAACCGGCGCTCGTCCTCACAGTTGACAGCGGCGAAGGCGACGTTACCTCGCTTGTTGGTTTGGGTGGCCTTGACAAAGTGCGTCTTGGACAGTTTGCTGAAAGGGCTCTTGGGGTCGTAAAACATCACCAGGGCCACGTCCTTCTCGTTGATGTAGTTGCTGAAGGTGTCCTCCTGCAGGCCGAAGATCTTGCTGACTCCAAAGAAAGAATCAGGTTTCAGTTTCTTGACTTTTTTGAAGGACATGACGGTTGATGGTCTGGCTGGTCGGGTACAAGGCACACGTCAGTGGGCGGCAGGTGGGGTTGTTGAAGTTAACGGTCGGGCAGTGAGCGGCAGGTGGAGTTGTTGAAGTTAACAGATGGTCAGCAGCTGGGATTGTTGTAGTTAAAAGGACTGTCAGTGGGCAGCAGGTAGGGTTGTTGAAGTTAACGGTCGGTCAGCGTCCGACCGACACAGAGGCCATACAGAGAGTGTGGATATGACGAGGCCAGCGTGACGTCATGGCCGTGCGCTGTCCGTGCCCGCGTGTTCAAGAGACTGTGCAGAGGTGCGCATAGGGTCAGGAATAGTGGTTCCACTCAATGACACCAAGAACCAACGAAGCATGTACAACATCGTGGATATGGGACCTCCCAAACCTGTGTCTCCCCCCCCCCCAAAAAAAAAAAAAACCGAAAGAAACTCAGTAGCCAAGACAAGTTGAGACAGGCAGAGGAGTTGTACCAAAGAAAACTACCACAGAAAACCAATAAAGAGCTGGAAGAATCGATATTCAAGCACTCGGGACACCCCCATAAGCACACCGTCCCCATCTTCACCAGCATGACCAGCATGATGGAGTAAATATCAAAAGGACGCTAACTACCCGGGACCTCTGAAGTGATGCTTGCCACTCTGCACGGAGTATGCCTTCTTCACCTTTCTTAACATGCTCTGTGAGTCAGTAACAATGACGGCATGTGTGTACAGCTGATTCTCAAGCAAGCGGAGGGCAGCAGTGACTGCCTCCACCACCATTCTCAAACTAGACGTTGTCACATCACATGCAAGGCTTTGTTGCCCTAAGCGACGATAATTCGTCTTTGCTATGAACCCCACGCGCTTTGTCTGCCCGTCAACACAGAGCCATCTACATAGATAATCACATCACTTGGGCTACAATTTTCATGAATCATTTGTTGAACTTATGATTCTGCAGCCCCAGCTGGCCAGTCTCTGCACTCACGATCTAAAGAGCTGGTGAAACGATCTAAACAGACTTTGGTTAAACGGCACGAGCAGCAACGACGTGTAGCAGCGTACAGATTCTATCAAGCGGCGAATACCCCCAACGAAAGTACAGAAGAATACACCCGGTCCAGAAGAAAACATTCCACTCTAGCAACAGAGTAAGGCGTGGAACATCTCGGAAGTCGATGTGGATGAAGACGACATCCCGATCGAAGCCAGGTCAAGGTCGCCTTGCAGCTGAGAACCCACTGGCGGGACAACACAGATGACAGCTACGGAAACCTCACGAACAAGACTGATGACAGCTACTGAAACATCACGAACAACACTGATGACAGCTACTGAAACATCACGAACAATACAGATCACAGCTACGGAAACATCACGAACAACACTGATGACAGCTACTGAAACATCACTAACAACTGGTACAGCGATATCGCCGTGAATAGCTCAGGAGACAGTCCAATCAATGAGAGTCACACCATGAGGCTAGCTCTCTAGTCAGCGATTGAACGTGGCTAATTCAAATGGAAAGAACGAACACATAAGCGGCCAGCAGCGTTAGATCTTGTTTATCTAATGGCAAAATCTGACCCGTGGCTCTCAGGCCATAATGGTAAAATCTGACCCGTGACTTCCAGGCCTTATTGGTAGAATCTGACCCATGCTTTCAGGCAATAATGGTAGAATCTGACCCATGGTTTTAGGCCATAATGGTAAAATCTTACGCATGCTTTAAGGCAATAATGGTAGAATCTGACCCATTGCTTTCAGGCCATAGTGGTAGAATCTGACCCATTGCTTTCAGGCCATAGTGGTAGAATCTGACCCATGCTTTCAGGCCATAGTGGTAGAATCTGACCCATGCTTTCAGGCCATAATGGTAAAATCTGACCCGTGCTTTAAGGCCATAGTGGTTGAATCTGACCCATGCTTTCATGCCATAGTGGTAGAATCTGACCCATGCTTTCAGGCCATAATGGTAGTAAGTAGGGAAGTACCCTTCTGAGAGCTTTCCTGCACCACAGGGAAGATAACACACGCCGACATACTAACAGTCATAAATGGTACAGTACACTAACGTTTTAAGCTGAACTCATAAGACTGGGTGAGCACGTTAAACAACTCCTGAGTACAATCGTACATGGCGCAGGGACCATGAAATATTGCTCATGGTTCAGGCGATAAATATGTGGACACAACAACAGCTACAACATATAACTACGTAAGCAGCGCCTAGTCAGACCATGTGCACGAACTACAAGTCATATTCTGAATCAAACAAATGGAATTTGATCATCACATTCAACATCTGAATACTTCACTGAAAACAAAGCTAGCGTGTTCGCAGATAACAATTATTGACAATCAAAAATGTTCGAACAGACCATGTGCTATCAACTTTAGCTAACAAAGAGGAGAGTACGCCTCCAGCAACCTACTTTTAGAGTCTCCGCGACAGGATGCCCAGTGAAAATGTAGATTTAAAACAATCTAACTATTGAAAGTACCGTCCAACACGAAACCAGTGAGCCAGTTCATCTCTAGACTCAGTCCCCCTGAAGCTACGTTGCGATAAGAACTTTGTATGCTCCCACAATGAAAGGTCAGGACTACATGTTTCTCATCTCACTGCCGCAGACCCAAGAGCCACACTACACGAGAGTGCTCATAGATCTGTGACACATCACACAGACAGTGCTCATGGATCTGTGACACACCTCGCGGGATTGCTCATTGATCTGTGACACACCAAACACGGAGTACTTATTGATCTATGCCACACCACACAGGGAGTGCTCAATTATACATGACACACCACACACGGGTTGCTTATTGATCTGTGACACAACCCACACACAGTGCTCATTGACTTATGACACACCATACAGGAGTGGTCAATGATTTGATTTGATTTGATTCAAGAACCGACATCACAGCGCTCGGGGCATTCCATAAGCGCTCCGTCCCCATCTTCAGCAGCCAGCGAAGAGTTCCGATACTAATGGTGCCAGTAGCATTCTGATTAAACGTCCATCTTGCCATTCCTCTGAGCCTCGAGCATCTGCCAGAACCTCTCATCACTCCCCGCTGCATCAATCTCACCAGACTGTGGTGATCCATCTGCTCCTCCGAGCTGTACACGCTCTACCACAAGGCACTAACCACGTCTGCCTTATCATGTATCAGTATTCCACCAAGTTGTGCAGAGCCAGCCAGTCTGTCCGCCTGTTGATTTTCCAACACACCGGCGTGCCCCGGTAAAAAAATCCAGACAAAACTTCTCACACGTGTCCTCCGCAGCGAAGCATGTCACTCTGCACGAAGCATACCTGTTCTGATCTTCCTCAGCCTGCATTCTGAATCAGTTACAATCACGATGGGTGTGTGTGTGTATGTGTGTGTGGGTGGGTGGGGGTGTGTGGTGTTCTCTAGCCAGCGGAAAGCTGCAGTGACCGCCTCCACCTCCATTCTTAAGCTGGATGTTGTGGTATCATATGCTAGGCTCTCAAACGTCGACCATTAACTTTTGCTAAAAAGCCCCAAGCACTTCTTTTGCCTCTTGACACTGAACCGTCTGTGTAAATGATCAAATCCTCTGAGCGAGCATTATCTTGAAGTAATTGCTGAATTTCCACCTTTGTGACACCTGCTGGCCAATCTCTGCATTCCCGGCTCAGCGTGATTATGACTCTACACAAGTCTGACTGTTCAGGTAGTAATTGACCCACTCCTTTCCTCAGTTGCCACTGAACTATGACACACCAGACAGGCAGTGCCCACTGAACTATGACACACCAGACAGGCAGTGCTCACTGATCTATGACACACCAGACAGGCAGTGCTCACTGACCTATGACACACCAGACAGGAGTGCTCACTGGTCTATGACACACCAGACAGGAGTGCTCACTGATCTATGACACACCAGACAGGCAATGCTCACTGATCTATGACACACCAGACAGGCAATGCTCACTGATCTATGACAAACCATACAGGAGTGCTCACTGGTCTATGACACACCAGACAGGAGTGCTCACTGATCTATGACACACCAGACAGGCAATGCTCACTGGTCTATGACAAACCATACAGGAGTGCTCACTGGTCACTGCAACTCTCGAAGTAATAAAACCATGCAAATCCAAAATCTGTCTGTTCTGAGCACTTCAAAGGTGCCACTCTCTGGTGGGTGACGGCCTACACAATACAAGAAAGTAACTTTAAATTCTGTCTATTCTAAACACAGCGGCTGATTTGAGATGATAATTGACATCACAGCACTTGAATCTGTCCCATAAAAACTCCGTCCGCATCCTCAGCAGCCACCGCAGAAGAGTTGCCATTCTCACGTGTATGGTGTGAACATGACAAAGCTGCCACTCTCGCATGTGTGGTGTGAACATGACAAAGCTGCCACTCTCGCTTGCGTGTGTGGTGTGAACATAACAAAGTGCCACTCCCGCTCGCGTGTGTGATGTAAACATGACTAAGTGCCACTCTCGCTCGCATGTGTGGTGTGAACACGACACAGTGCCACTATCGCGTGTGTGGTGTGAACACGACACAGTGCCACTCTCGCGTGTGTGGTGTGAACACGACACAGTGCCACTCTCGCGTGTGTGGTGTGAACACGACACAGTGCTACGCTCGCATGGGTTATGTGAACATGACACAGTGCTACTCTCGCGTGTGTGGTGTGAACATGACACAGTGCTGCTCTCTCTCGCATGTGTGGTGTGAACATGACGCTGGCGTTGGATAGGGCACACACTGAGAAAACAGGAGAACAGCATAACTAGAATGTCTTTGCATTGGAACCCACAGAGGCATAGGAACAAAGGAAGGCCCAAAAAAAAAAAAACACATGGAGAAGAGAGCTGGAGAATGAGATTAGAAAGATTGGGAAGACATGGGGAGAGCTCCATGTAATGACGAAGGATAGAACGACTTGGCGTGAGTTGGTTGAGGGCCTATGCTCCATTGGGGGATAGAAAGGCAGAAGAAGAAGCTCTCTCTCGCATGTGTGGTGTGAACATGACAAAGTGCCACTCTCGCTCGCATGTGTGGTGTAAACACGACACAGTGCCACGCTCGCACGGGTGGTGTAAACATGACACAGTGCTACTCTCGATTGTGTGGTGTGAACATGACACAGTGCTACTCTCTCTCGCATGTGTGGTGTGAACATGACAAAGTGCCACTCTCGCTCGCATGTGTGGTGTAAACACGACACAGTGCCACGCTCGCATGTGTGGTGTGAACATGACAAAGCTGCCACTCTCCTTCCCTCCCCACCACACCCACCCAGTGGTGCCAGGTGCTGCAACACACAAGCTCTTCCTTCTCCAACGTTGGCTTATTGACCACATTTAAAACTATCTGATGCAGCTGTTACGGAAAACAACACCAACAACAATAACAGCACCACAACCAACAACAACAGCACCAATAACAACAACAGCACCACAACCAACGAAAACAGCACCAATAACAACAACAGCACCAACAACAACGGCAGGAAGGGCACAAGTTGGGCAAAAATACATGTTCCCTTATCAGCGAAGGAAGCAACAGCATCACTAACAGTAACGTTAGAGACAACAATAACCGCAAGAATAGCAACAACAACAACACCAAGAACGTCACCATCATCATCCCAACGGACAAGCAATTGACAAAGCAAGTCAGGTAAATAGCATTATGTAATCAGTGCTGTGTGTGTGTGTCTGTTTGTACATGGCTGTGTAAGTATGTGTGGACTTCACTCCTACCAGGGACTGTCTGTGGTCCGAGATGTGCTTCCAGTGGCTCGCGGTCCGAGATGTGCTTGCAGTGGCTCGCGGTCTGTAGTCACAGATGGTACTGAAGGGTTGTCTTGCTGGCGGAATCCCAATGATTGTCATATATGGACAAGTTACTGGTCCTCAGGTACATTTGTATCATTTACTGGTGGTCTCTTGCCATCTATTACGGTGGAACCATTGACGGGTTGTGCTGCTGACGGTATTAGTCACGGGTTGTCCATCTGGTTGGATCAGTCACGGGTTATCCATCTGGTTAGATCAGTCACGGGTTATCCATCTGGTTCGGTCAGTCACGGGTTATCCATCTGGTTCGGTCAGTCACGGGTTATCAATCTGGTTCGGTCAGTCACAGATTGCAGAAGTTGAGGCATGCAGTCCAGCCAGATCGGTTTCCTAGAGCTCGAATGAGACGCGATGAAGATAGCAGACGACAATGTGTCTGGTAGATGAGGTCCATCAACCAGCAATGTCTGCCAACAAAGCACCGAGGCCAGTAACTAAAGCTGTCCAACTGGCGCTGGCGACTCAGCCAGGCAGACATATTTACAGGGTGAACAATTGCAGTATTGAGCCTTCCAGTGTTCTTCATCTTCTTCCTCAGCACTCCGCGCTCCTGAGGTTCATTGCTGCAGATATCACTGGCCTCCATTCATCTGACAACATTAAAGGCTTGACAATCCGATTTGAAATATGTGACTCAACCTGGATGGATAGATGAGCATTTTGAACAATCGATATGTGATTTGCGCAGTATTGCAGGTATGTTGTCAAAGCAGTTGAAGCTTGCACGAGTTTCAGTTAATCGGTTTTAGAGCTGATAGTTTGAAGAATTGATCGTTGAATTATTCTTTGAAAATGTGACCGTTGAAGAGTTGGCGTAACTTCAGCTGATATTTTACATGATAAAAATAATACCTGCTGGTGAGCCTGCCTGTTGGTGTCAGTATGGAGGTTTCATGGAGGTTTCATGGAGGTTTCATGGAGGTTTCAGAGAATGTCTATTTCTGGACGACGATCCGTGGACAGTCAGGATCCACTGGCACTCTGCCTGGGTGCAGAGGGGGAGGAGCTTCAATATTTTCCATAACTTCTTTCATGCGGATGTAGTCAATGGGAAAGCTTCTGTTGCTGAGGACTTGGCCTCTTGTGTAGAGCATGAACGTGGGCAGTCGGACGATGCCTTCCCGTTTACACAGGGCCTTTTCTTTGGTACAGTCCACGGCGGCGTAGGCGTGGTTGTCACGTTTGGTCACTTTGGCAGCTCGAATGATGTGAGCTCTCTGTCGCTGGCAGTCCGGACATTCGGGGTTATAGTACATGACCATGGCGGCTACCTTGTCGTTGAGGAAGCTGTAGAAGTTACACTCCACTAGCCCGTGCACATTGGGCGACCTGATGAACTTGTCTTCCTCCACCGGCGTGATTTTCGGCTTCCCCATCTGTAGGCTGAAGAATCAGTGGTTCCTGTGCTGGAGGCTGCTGATCTGGTGTTGCTTTGAGTGCCAGAAGAGTGACTGCAGGTAAATGTGTTTGAGGAGGCAGGAAGGAACTAACGTTGATCTTTAGAATATTGTGCCTCCATGGTAGGCGAAGCACAGAAAATGATGACCATGGTCGTTGTGTTGTGACGTGGCAGGCGCGGAAATGTTCGTTCGAGAGTACAGTAAACAGAAATGGGCGGTCTTGTGCCAACTATGCAACAAACACCACCCAGGGTCCACGACACGAGAACAGACCCCGTGGTTTGGGGCCAGGTACTATCCTGCGTCCATTACTCGAGCACAGACACCGGGAAGGGGGTGGGCGTGTGGCACAGTCGTGCCTATACATCCCCCAAGAAATAGATGTGCCTAATTCGGCCAAGTTGAATGAATATAGTTTGTAGCTCTCTTCAATCGTACTCAAGAACAAGGCCAGTGATGTAATCAATTACACAAGAGCTGGTTTATTTACAATATTCTCGTCACACAGGCTTCATAAACTCAATAAGCAATAGTATATGAATACTTTATATCTGGATACAGGCTATTCGTATGACTCTCTACGAGTTCCTTGACAACTGTTCTAGCTAAACTCCAAGTTTAACATATACCTTCTAAACGAAGTAAAGCACTAGTTTTCTCCTAACCGGTCTTTCCAGCAGTTCAGCCCTAACCTGTCCTATCAAGCGGTTCCGTGGCTAACTCTCTGTTCTAATTAAACTCCAAGTTTAACATATCCTTCTAATCGAAGTACAGCACTGGTGTTCTCCACTGGTCTCTCAAGCTGTCCGGTCCTAACTGTCCTATCAAGCGGTTCCGTGGCTAACTCTCTGTTCTAGTTAAACTCCAAGTTTAACATATCCTTCTAAACGAAGTACAGCACTGGTGTTCTCAACTGGTCTCTCAAGCTGTCCGGTCCTAACTGTCCTATCAAGCGGTTCCGTGGCTAACTAACTTCTCAAGCCCCGGCTCTGACTTTATTCCCCCGCTTTCCCGCTCTTCCTGGCGTACCTTCTCCATCACTCCCCTGTCACCTGTCTTTGGTGGTCACGTTTGGATGAACGTATCTCTTCAGCTGGTCACAGCTCACGGGCACTCGTCGAATGTTTCATCCCTCACTGTCAGATGTCATGGCGGTTATCATGAAGATGTTCTGCATAGTTGGCTAGGCCATAGCTTTCTAATCACCCATTTCTGCATTTCACACAGTGATGGATTAGTACGCCGTGTGGTGGTCTGAAATGTATGCTTTGTTTATTTAACCCCTTTCTGCCTATATTTCATTACATTCGCCACACACATTTTTTAACAAAATTGTTTCCCATCTTCAATTTTATCACTAAAAACTACTCTAATTATACCCGCTACCAACTAAACCTTATATGAACATCTAGCCACGTAATGAAAGCATACCATAACATGTAACATCATAAAATTCATGCAGTATAATGAAAACGTGACATGCATACAATAACTAATAGTCAATAATTCTAAAGACATAAAAAAACGATACAACTCCCTCGTTGTATTAGCATAACAACCCCTTATTCATGAACCTCTTATAATGAATGTTCGGAGTTGTCTGAAGTATAAAGGAATAGTATCTGTATTCCCAGTATCACAGACTAGAGATGTATGTTGTTTACTCTTTGCTACCGTTTATGAGTATTTTTCATTGCTAAAAAACTCTATCCTATCGTTTACTGATTCTTCTACAAATTATCATATTACACCATGCACTGGCAGCGAATAACAGCTATAAAAACAAACAACCGTTTACGAAATGTTCAAAGTATTAAGAAAGACGTACAACATAGCTGTGCACTGTCATCTGATTTGTTTTCATTCCACAGCATCCTAAACCAAAGACCACTGAAACGTTAGTCTTCCCTCTTTCATTTTTCTGCGTGCATGTATAGCACTCACTTTTGCCTCCCTCTTTTTATGTGGTGGGTTGCAGTCATCCTGACTGGATGACGTATGCCCTCGGTTTCTCTTTCTTCTTCTGGGCTCGGCCATGTCCTGATCTGTTTCATAATCGCCTACATTTCCACAACTATCTGTGTCGCTTCTCATCTCCTCTGAGCTTTCCGACGCTTCCGTAGACTCTGCCTCAAGTAATAATGCCCTACGTTCTCTCTCGGACATAATTTTCTGTCTTTCAAAAATTGGCACATTCCCTTCGCTAGATGAAGCGGAGCGTTCTTTACACGCTCGCCTAATTTCCTTTTTTTCTTCTATGTTAAGGTTTCTTTTTGTTGCTGCTCTAGTATGTCTAAACGGGGCGTCTGTAAAATCTGCGATATCTGACTCATTAACTGTTGAACCCTCCTCACTCTCTGACCTGTTCGTCGGTGCCGATTCTACCTCCGCAGTCGTTACGTGTCCCTCTGTGCATGTTCCCTTGTATGCTATGTCACTTTCGTTTTCAGTACCGATTCTACTGTCGGTGTCAGTCTCTGGCGGGCATGCTAAAGTAGTTCTCCTGTGTGAATCCTGTTCTACCTGTGGCGGACACTCTGTGTTTAGCGCATCATTGTATTTAAGATGACCATGAACGCGGGCGGTGTGTCCTGTCAGTTGATTTTTAATAAGGTAGGTTACTGGCCCTAGACGTTCTAACACGAAGTATCCGGCCGTCCACCGGTTGTCAAACTTAGATTCTCTGACGTGTTTTTTTGAAAAATACGTTATCTCCGACATTAAACTCTGCTAACACAACATTTTTGTCTGCGTACTGTTTACGTTTGTCAAACGCTTTGTTAACATTCCTCCGTACTTTAACGTGAGCCTTATGCATTTCCTGTGTATAAGACGCTTCTTGCTGGTTTGTTTCTTTAAATGTCTCTACCCTCTCTACTTTACTATGTGTGCTATTGCTATCTAGTCTGTTTATTTCTACAGCGTTTGCTTCCCATAACCAATCCATTGCCAAACAACCCTCTTTATCTTGTTCGGACTTAACGTTAGCCGGTATCAACTTCTTACGTGTTTCTATGTTCCCTTCTTCTTTAAAGTATTGATCGTGTGTCCCGTTTACTTTTACAGCATTCACTTCTCTAACGTAATTTTTACAAAACCGTACCCTGTTATTCCTGTCATTAAACTTTCCTAGCTTGTATTCACTGACTTGTGAGGGGTAGGTCATGTTTTTAGAATTACGTTTTAATGTCTGGAAATAGTTCCGCCGCGCATATGAACCGTCTTTCCCTCTACTTTGCGCTCTGGGTATCTTCCACTGGGACCTGTATTTAGCTAACACTCTGTTTTTTAACATTTCTTCTAACCTCTTTGTCTCATCATAAGCAGCGCACCTGCTTTGGTTACCTGCCTGCCCCAATCTGTCACAGTGATTGAACGGATTATTTCCTAAGTTTTGCAGTCTTATACTCTTATTATATTCTAATTTGCTTAACCTGTCTCCTTTGAATCTGTTAGCTTGATTATGCGTCGTACCGTGGGCCCTGTAATCTTGATTAGTGCTTATCATGCGGAATCTGGTATCTGAATTACATGACCTGACACGAACTCGGTTATTATCATGGATATTTCCTACTCTATTTATGTTCTGACATCTGTTTCCAAAATTATGCCACTGCTCCTGTGCTCTGATATTTCTGTTAATTTCTAACTTCCGTAACCTGTCTGCTCTATCTAAATTTTTAAAATGCCCTCGTTCATTCGGTATTTGTGACCTCAGTTGACCCTGATTTTTCTCGTACGCTTTTATGTTGTCTGGTCTGCGGTACTGATTATCTCTAGGGTATTGCAATCTCTCGTTAGCATAATTTCGCCTGTCTGGGGAACTGGACAGTCGATTAGCAGCGACGTTACTTCTAGTGACTGATGCTATGTTATAACTTCTTTCTCTCTGTCTTTGTCTACGACTATCTACAGTTGACCAATGCTGAGCAGTGTTTTGTTCCATAAAAAATGGAATACGGAGTTTTCTACCTAACTGTGCTACTTCATTAAAAACTCTGCTAAACTGTGCTCTCACTGTTCCTTGATTTGCCATTATTAAAACCTGGAAAATTAACTAATGTAAACTAAAAAAGAATTTAAAACAGAAAATGTCGTATTACCTTGTTAAGTGCGGTCTGAAAAAAAAAATGCTCGTTTCACAACACACTGTAATTAAAATCGGCACTGTCCTGGAATTATTTTCTACGTTCAGGAAGAAAGGTAGGGAAAGATAAGAAAAGGTTTGCCCTACACCACTGTAAATTAAAAATCACAATATATTTAAACTAATTATTATTAATGTTCAAGGTTTTTTTAAATCGCGCTTATTTTGCAGTTCCTATTTGTAAAATCGGACAGCTCACAGTTCTTGACTTTCCTATAGTCTTCCGAGTGTGTAAAGTTAGGAAAAGTTTATATTATGGCTCCAGACTAGAACGGGCGCGTCCCCCTGATTCTAGTGTAGACGGTTTGCTCCAGGCTAGAACGGGCGTGTACCCCTGATTCTAGTGTAGACGGTTTGCTCCAGGCTAGAACGGGCGTGTCCCCCTGATTCTAGTGTAGACGGTTGGGTCCAGGCTAGAACGGGCGTGTCCCCCTGATTCTAGTGTAGACGGTTGGCTCCAAAAGGTGGTGCAGGCTGTTGGTCTGGTTTACGTCTCTCCAATCTGATGACGGGTTTATCGACTTTTGTTTTACTCAGCAGGTACAATCATAAACTTGCTTTTAGTTCACCTTTTTATAGCAGTTGCTTATTTGTTATGTTGTAACAGCAGTCTTGTTTTTTTTAAAGATGTCGAGTACACAAGACTGATCGTTGGTCACGGCTCCAAATATCCTCACACTTGTTGGTCACGGCACCAAATATCCACACACTTGTGGCACAGTCGTGCCTATACATCCCCCAAGAAATAGATGTGCCTAATTCGGCCAAGTTGAATGAATATAGTTTGTAGCTCTCTTCAATCGTACTCAATAACAAGGCCAGTGATGTAATCAATTACACAAGATCTGGTTTATTTACAATATTCTCGTCACACAGGCTTCATAAACTCAATAAGCAATAGTATATGAATACTTTATATCTGGATACAGGCTATTCCTATGTCTCTCTACGAGTTCCTTGACAACTGTTCTAGCTAAACTCCAAGTTTAACATATACCTTCTAAACGAAGTAAAGCACTAGTTTTCTCCTAACCGGTCTTTCCAGCGGTTCAGCCCTAACCTGTCCTATCAAGCGGTTCCGTGGCTAACTCTCTGTTCTAGTTAAACTCCAAGTTTAACATATCCTTCTAAACGAAGTACAGCACTGGTGTTCTCAACTGGTCTCTCAAGCTGTCCGGTCCTAACTGTCCTATCAAGCGGTTCCGTGGCTAACTCTCTGTTCTAGTTAAACTCCAAGTTTAACATATCCTTCTAAACGAAGTACAGCACTGGTGTTCTCAACTGGTCTCTCAAGCTGTCCGGTCCTAACTGTCCTATCAAGCGGTTCCGTGGCTAACTAACTTCTCAAGCCCCTGGCTCTGACTTTATTCCCCCGCTTTCCCGCTCTTCCTGGCGTACCTTCTCCATCACTCCCCTGTCACCTGTCTTTGGTGGTCACGTTTGGATGAACGTATCTCTTCAGCTGGTCACAGCTCACGGGCACTCGTCGAATGTTTCATCCCTCACTGTCAGATGTCATGGCGGTTATCATGAAGATGTTCTGCATAGTTGGCTAGGCCATAGCTTTCTAATCACCCATTTCTGTCATTTCACACAGTGATGGATTAGTACGCCGTGTGGTGGTCTGAAATGTATGCTTTGTTCATTTAACCCCTTTCTGCCTATATTTCATTACAGGCGGAGGCACCTTAGGTCCAGTAACACCGGGGTTGGCGTGGGAGGGCAGTTCGTGGGAGGGAAGGCACCTTAGGTCCAGATACTGGGGTGAGGTTCGTGGGAGGGAAGGCACCTTAGGTCCAGATACTGGGGTTGGCGGGTGGAGGTTCGTAGGAGGGAAGGCACCTTAGGTCCAGATACTGGGGTTGGCGGGTGGAGGTTTGTGGGAGGGAAGGCACCTTAGGTCCAGATACTGGGGTGAGGTTCGTGGAAGGGAAGGCACCTAGGTTCAGCAACTGGGGTTGGCGGGGGGAGGTTCGTGGGAGGGAAGGCACCTTAGGTTCAGTAACACAGGGGGGGAGGGGTGTTTGCAGACTGGACGAGCGCTGATGCAAAGAAAACATTCGAGGAGGGAGCTCGCTAAGTCGCTAGGTTCTGGTGCCCCTGGTGGCAGTTGAGTAGAATGCATGCCTGTCGGCTCTGTGCTAATGGGTTCGAATACAAATCCAGGATTTTTAAAAGGGACCTTCCAGTAGATGCATGCCATGAGAGGCATAGGGCCGCAGTGCTACTGCCTCCACCAGCCATGGGGCGTCTCTGCAATCAACAGTATAGCAACATGGAACCAGAACGGCCCCAGACGTGCAATTGATGAACATCGCTGGCGCCGAGTGCCACTTTATATCTGGGCAGAACTCTGCGGGAAACCATCACAACGTGGCTTCTGAGGGGGAGGGGGGGGGGGACAGTAACTTTACAGTACAGGTAATACACACAGTGTGGAAGCAGACTTTAACACACACATACATACACAGGCAGCTGTTGGCTACCAGACATGATACAATCATAGACACACACACACACCTACAAAGACAGCTGTTGGCTACCAGACATGTAACAATCAAACACACACATTCTGTTAACTGTTTTATTTCAAATAATTCAACAAAATCAGAATGTTTGTGCTCACGAACAACACACACAAATACTGAACCTGAATGCATGAAACAATAATAGGATAAATCATTTTGGAGAGAGCAACCCAAAAACCATCCCTCTATCACACACATCTGCACACAATCTCTCTCTCTCTCTCTCTCTTAAACATATTCACTTACACACAAGTGTGCCATTCAAGTAATTACAACTAGGTGGCCACAAGTAAGCAAAAGAACTTTTTTGTGATGAGTGCCTTGACTTCCCAGGACTTGACCCGGTACCCATTTAAGGCTGGGTCTACTTAGGAGCCAAGGTCAGTTTTGAAAAAAAAAATCCAATCAGTTCAGGTTTGAACCCATGGCCTCCAGATCCACAGGTGAGTTTCTAGCCACTACACCATGCTGGCTCCCATAAGCAAAAAGAATTGAGATACATTCTCTGTCTCCAGAACTGCCACCACATCCACAATATCACACACAAAATGATACATTTCATAACTTGTAATGTTACGTATTAACTAAAAAAATTGTTACATACCACATTACAGAATACCACATATGAAATCAAGCAGCCAACTAAGTCTGTCATGGGGATAAGTGAGCTCCGTGCACCGCGCTAAGATTCTTCAGACTCAGGCTTCAGTTAGAAGCAGAATGGAGCACATATGGTGTGACTGTGACATGAACATGACTGGAGATGATGTGTTGCCTTCATGACCTGACTGTAATATGAACATAACCTGACTGTGACATGAACATGACTAGAGATGACCTGACTGTGACATGAACTGACTGTGACATGAACATGACTGGAGATGATGTGCTGCCTTCATGATCTAACTGTGACAGTACCAATGATGACTTCAGATGTGGGCAACATGAGCTGGACACGTCTGCAACAGACTGAGAACGTCTAGGCCAAATCAAGCATCTCTCAGGCTCCAGAGTCTCCCAGCTTGGCCATCAGAGATGTTTGGCCATCAGAGATGTCTGACCATCAGAGATATCTGGCCATCAGAGATGTTTGGCCATCAAAGATGTCTGACCATCAGAGATGTCTGACCATCAGAGATGTCTGACCATCAGAGATGTCTGGCCATCAGAGATGTCTGACCATCAGAGATGTCTGGCCATCAGAGATGTCTGACCATCAGAGATGTCTGACCATCAGAGATGTCTGACCATCAGAGATGTCTGGCCATCAGAGATGTTTGGCCATCAGAGATGTCTGGCCATCAGAGATGTTTGGCCATCAGAGATGTTTGGCCATCAGAGATGTCTGACCATCAGAGATTTCTGACCATCAGAGATGTCTGACCATCAGAGATGTCTGGCTGCTGGTGACAGGAAGCCAAGAGGATTGAAGAGATAACATGATGAGCACGCTGTGATTCAATACTGAAATCCTTGAACTCCAACAAGGTGGCTCCACTGTGAGAAGTGTGGGCAACCCCGAGGAGGAGGGGGAGGGGAGCTAAACAGCACAGATATCGCAGCCTAGCAGATAGCCACAACACAGTGTGCCATCCGCCATTTAAACAGAAAATTTAATCGTGAGAATACAGCTAGCAACAAAAACATTGTACGTCGACCTCAACACAATCATGACACAGTGACATATGCCTGTATCCACACATGCTGTCTGACAGCCTCAACACAAACATGACACAGTGACATTTGCCTGTATCCACACATGCTGTCTGACAGCCTCAACACAATCATGACACAGTGACATATGCATGTATCCACACATGCTGTCTGACAGCCTCAACACAATCATGACACAGTGACATTTGCCTGTATCCACACATGCTGTCTGACAGCCTCAACACAAACATGACACAGTGACATTTGCCTGTATCCACACATGCTGTCTGACAGCCTCAACACAATCATGACACAGTGACATTTGCCTGTATCCACACATGCTGTCTGACAGCCTCAACACAATCATGACACAGTGACATTTGCCAATATCCACACATGCTGTCTGACAGCCTCAACACAATCATGACACAGTGACATATGCCTGTATCCACACATGCTGTCTGACAGCCTCAACACAATCATGACACAGTGATATATGCCTGTCTGTCAGCCTCAACACAATCATGACACAGTGACATTTGCCTGTATCCACACATGCTGTAGGACAGCCTCAACACAATCATGACACAGTGACATTAGCCAATATCCACACATGCTGTCTGACAGCCTCAACACAATCATGACACAGTGACATATGCCTGTATCCACACATGCTGTCTGACAGCCTCAACACAATCATGACACAGTGATATATGCCTGTCTGTCAGCCTCAACACAATCATGACACAGTGACATTTGCCTGTATCCACACATGCTGTCTGACAGCCTCAACACAATAATGACACAGTGACATTTGCCTGTATCCACACATGCTGTCTGACAGCCTCAACACAATCATGACACAGTGACATTTGCCTGTATCTGAACATGCTGTCTGACAGCTCCAACAAACATGACACAGTGACATTTGCCTGTATCCACACATGGAGGAGAGCTAAACAGCACAGATATTGCAGCCTAGCAGATAGCCCACACACAGTGTGCTGATCAGCCATTTAAACAGACATGACATCGTGAGATTTACAGCTAGCAACAAAAACATTGTACGTCGACCTCAACACAATCATGACGCAGTGACATATGCCTGTATCCACACATGCTGTCTGTCAGTCTCAACACAATCATGACACAGTGACATATGCCTGTATCCACACATGCTGTCTGACAGCCTCAACACAATCATGACACAGTGACATATGCCTGTATCCACACATGCTGTCTGTCAGTCTCAACACAATCATGACACAGTGACATATGCCTGTATCCACACATGCTGTCTGACAGCCTCAACACAATCATGACACAGTGACATTTGCCTGCATCCACACATGCTGTCTGTCAGCCTCAACACAATCATGACAGTGATATGTGCCTGCAGAATGATCGGGGACAATCACTCTAAGATAACTAGAGAAATTCACATGCATAGTTTTCCTTCACAACAGAGACCAAACCGTTACCACAACAGAAATTCCCTTGCACAGGTTTCCTACACAACACAAACCAAACTGTTACTGCAACAAAAATTTGGCAATGAGGCACAAATGGTCAGAAGGAAAAACTGAATTTGGCATGAAACCAAATTTGGTGACCTCCTTATGTTTTAAAAGCCTGTACCTGGCTATAAGTTCCAGAGGTTCTTTAACTGTGTCTTTGCCCATGTCAGTGTCAATTACAGCAGCAGCAATGTCTCTGTTCCTGACACTGTCATCGGGCTGGGTGTCCAACTGACTGCCATCAACCTGAACTGTACTGTCACTGTTGTTGGAGCCAGTCCCGTGAGCGTGACGCTGGTGTCTGGTCGCAGTCTGTGAGTAGAAGATGTAGTCAACGGTACATGAACTGTTGTTGTGGTGGGTGCTGATCTCCCGATTTCGATAACCCTTACCCAAAAAATGGGTGTAGACAGACTGAAAGTTCATACTGTGCCACACTTGACCCGAGTTAACACTTGGAAGTGGCTGGCTCTGACTGACTCCACCTCTGTTCCACCGCTCCTTGAGAACATGCAGGTACTGACAGGTCTCACAGATGTCGAGGCCTGAAGGCAGCAGCTTGCTGTCCACCAGTCTGTCTGTGCCGCCCCATCGACCCTCCTCCTGCCCACAGACCAGCCTGGCAATACGCTGGTCATACTTCAGGTAGCCGTTGGTGATAAACTGATACAGGTCACACAGAGGTTCCATGTTAAAGTCACCACAGAGAATGATGGGGCAGTAACGGGCTGAAACATTCTCCTGTTGTGTTTCATATGAAGATGCAGCACCCTGGTCAAACTGCAGAGAACAGCCAGGGCCACCACTTTGAGATTCTTGGTCAAGTTTACTGGAGTCATTAACTGGGCATCTGCCAGGCTGGTCATCCAGGTATGCATGCTTGTCTATCTCAGCCAGGAGCACCATCAGCTGAGCCAGCTTGACATCCCCACGGCGAGGGTTGAACAGCAAGTGGGTGGTGGCCACACAGATCTTTTTGACCTGGCCCCCATAGACGTGCTGGCGGGGCTGCAGCAGCAGGATGAGACCGACGTTGTGTCGGTCGAGAATTCCTCCTTTCATGAACTCAACGGGGATGCTCTTGAGCTGCTTGAATTTGCTGGTTTGAAACAAAATAGCACAGCCATGAGTGTTGTCTCCGCTCTGCTTCTTGTAGACCCCAGCATAGCCTAGAGAGGCAAACCAATCAGTGTCAAGCTACACACACAGACTTGGGGGTCAGAGGTATCAAACAGGGTATGTCCAGGTCCCGACACAACGTAAAACAGATAATCTGTTAAGTATTGGTCACAGACAGAAAAAATGGACACAAACAAACACTGGATTTTAATAAAACAAACACTGGAATTTAACAAAACCAACACTGGACTCTTACTAAACAAACACTGGACTTTAAACCAACAGTGGACTTAACAAAACAAACAAGCAACCACAGACACAATAAGAAAGGCAAACAGAAACTCTCCTCAAGTTAACAGGCCACAGGTACAGGAGTTCACACCCCTCCACAAAAGCTAGTTTTGTATTTCCCTACCTCCACCCTGTATTTTAAAGAAAGCCAACCTATTCTCTTTATCAACACCAACAGTAACCATCTATAGAACTACAACCACTAACAGTAACCATCTATAGAACTACAACCACCAACAGTAAATATGTACACAAATGATAATACCAACAGTAAATATGTACATAAATGATAATACCAACAGTAAATATGTACATAAATGAAAACACCAACAGTAAATATGTACACAAATGAAAACACCAACAGTAAATATTTACATAAATGATATCACAAACAGTAAATATGTACATAAACGATAATACCAACAGTAAATATGTAAAGAAATAAAAACACCAAAAGTAAATATGAACATAAATTAAAACACCAAAAATAAACATGTAAACAAAGACAGGAAACACAGTAAACATGTACAGAAAGACAGGAAACAGACAGTAAACATGTAGAGAAAGACAGGAAACACAGACAGTAAATATGTAGAGAAAGACAGGAAACACAGACAGTAAACATGTAAAGAAAGACAGGAAACATAGACAGTAAACATGTGAAGAAAGACAGGAAACCCAGACAGTAAACATGTGAAGAAAGACAGGAAACACAGACTGTAAACATGTAAAGAAAGACAGGAAGCACAGACAGTAAACATGTAGAGAAAGACAAGAAACACAGACAGTAAACATGTGAAGAAAGACAGGAAACACAGACAGTAAACATGTAGAGAAAGACAGGAAACACAGACAGTAAACATGTAGAGAAAGACAGGAAACACAGACAGTAAACATGTAGAGAAAGACAGGAAACACAGACAGTAAACATGTAAACAAAGACAGGAAACACAGACAGTAAACATGTAGAGAAAGACAGGAAACACAGACAGTAAACATGTAAACAAAGACAGGAAACACCGACAATAAACATGTAGAGAAAGACAGGAAACACAGACAGTAAACATGTAGAGAAAGACAGGAAACACAGACAGTAAACATGTAGAGAAAGACAGGAAACACAGACAGTAAACATGTAGAGAAAGTCAGGAAACACAGACAGTAAACATGTAGAGAAAGTCAGGAAACACAGACAGTAAACATGTAGAGAAAGACAGGAAACACAGACAGTAAACACGTAGAGAAAGACAGGAAACACAGACAGTAAACATGTAAACAAAGACAGGAAACACAGACAGTAAACATGTAGAGAAAGTCAGGAAACACAGACAGTAAACATGTAAACAAAGACAGTAAACATGTAAACAAAGACAGGAAACACAGACAGTAAACATGTAGAGAAAGACAGGAAACACAGACAGTAAACATGTAGAGAAAGACAGGAAACACAGACAGTAAACATGTAGAGAAAGATAGGAAACAGACAGTAAACAAAGACAGGAAACACAGACAGTAAACATGTAGAGAAAGACAGGGAAACACAGACAGTAAACATGTAGAGAAAGTCAGGAAACACAGACAGTAAACATGTAGAGAAAGACAGGAAACACAGACAGTAAACATGTAGAGAAAGACAGGAAACACAGACAGTAAACATGTAAACAAAGACAGGAAACACAGACAGTAAACATGTAGAGAAAGTCAGGAAACACAGACAGTAAACATGTAAACAAAGACAGTAAACATGTAAACAAAGACAGGAAACACAGACAGTAAACATGTAGAGAAAGACAGGAAACACAGACAGTAAACATGTAGAGAAAGATAGGAAACAGACAGTAAACATGTAAACAAAGACAGGAAACACAGACAGTAAACATGTAGAGAAAGACAGGAAACACAGACAGTAAACATGTAGAGAAAGATAGGAAACAGACAGTAAACATGTAAACAAAGACAGGAAACACAGACAGTAAACATGTAGAGAAAGACAGGGAAACACAGACAGTAAACATGTAGAGAAAGATAGGAAACAGACAATAAACATGTAAAGAAAGACAGGGAAACACAGACAGTAAACATGTAGAGAAAGATAGGAAACAGACAATAAACATGTAAAGAAAGACAGGAAACACAGACAGTAAACATGTAGAGAAAGACAGGAAACACAGACAGTAAACATGCAAACAAAGACAGGAAACACAGACAGTAAACATGTAGAGAAAGACAGGAAACACAGAAAATAAACATGTAGAGAAAGATAGGAAACAGACAGTAAACATGTAGAGAAAGTCAGGAAACACAGACAGTAAACATGTAGAGAAAGACAGGAAACACAGACAGTAAACATGTAGAGAAAGACAGGAAACACAGACAGTAAACATGTAAACAAAGACAGGAAACACAGACAGTAAACATGTAGAGAAAGACAGGAAACACAGAAAATAAACATGTAGAGAAAGATAGGAAACAGACAGTAAACATGTAGAGAAAGACAGGAAACACAGACAGTAAACATGTAAACAAAGACAGGAAACACAGACAGTAAACATGTAGAGAAAGATAGGAAACAGACAATAAACATGTTAAGAAAGACAGGGAAACAGACAGTAAACATGTAGAGAAAGTCAGGAAACACAGACAGTAAACATGTAAAGAAAGACAGGAAACACAGACAGTAAACATGTAGAGAGAGACAGGAAACACAGACAATAAACATGTAGAGAAAGACAGGAAACACAGACAGTAAACATGTAGAGAAAGACAGGAAACACAGACAGTAAACATGTAGAGAAAGACAGGAAACACAGATAGTAAACTTGTAGAGAAAGACAGGAAACACAGACAGTAAACATGTAGAGAGAGAGGAAACACAGACAGTAAACATGTAAAGAAAGATGAAACACAGACAGTAAACATGTAGAGAGAGACAGGAAACACAGACAGTAAATATGTAAACAAAGACAAGAAACATAGACAGCAAACATGTAGAGAAAGACAGGAAACACAGACAGTAAACATGTAAACACAGACAGTAAACTGTGGAAACTGACAACACATGTCAACAAATGTCAAGCTGGGCTAACCTTGCTCTGCTAACGTGTCCCTGATGTCCTGCAGCCAGTGATCCTTCTCTACCTCCTGCAGACAAACAATCTGTCAGACAGAATAAGACAGATATCAAATAAACATTGTAGGGATGACAAAACAGTCATTCATGTTGATAATCATCGAATGCTTGAAGTGTCAAAAAATAGGGCACATGAGGACAAACTGCAGGAGTTCAGAGGTGAATATGCAGTTTGATGTGCATCTCCTCACCTAAAGACAGGAGATGTAGACACTACAAGACATGAGAGACAGGAGATTTAGACACTTCACAACCTAATACACAGACTCTACAAGACAGGAGACATAGACAAGACATGAGATGTAGACAAGACAGGAGATGTAGACAAGACAGGAGATGTAGACAAGACAGGAGATGTAGACACCACAAGATAGAATGAAGTACTAACAGAGATCTCAGTAACAAATATCTCAGTGTCAGCAGTAACAAATATCTCAGTGTCAGCAGTAACAAATATCTCAGTGTCAGCAGTAACAAATATCTCAGTGTCAGCAGTAACAAATATCTCAGTGTCAGCAGTAACAAATATCTCAGTGTCAGCAGTAACAAATATCTCAGTGTCAGCAGTAACAAATATCTCAGTGTCAGCAGTAACAAATATCTCAGTGTCAGCAGTAACAAATATCTCAGTGTCAGCAGTAACAAATATCTCAGTGTCAGCAGTAACAAATATCTCAGTGTCAGCAGTAACAAATATCTCAGTGTCAGCAGTAACAAATATCTCAGTGTCAGCAGTAACAAATATCTCAGTGTCAGTACTAAAGTAAAAGACAAGTTGATGAGTTTTGCTTTCTCTCTGTAATCTTCTTGACGGTCTCTAGTTCAGCAGAATCTGTGTGTATAACGAGAGACAGGGAGGAGAAAAAAGCAAATAGAGGGAGGGAAAAATAACACAGAGGGAGGGAGAAATAACACAGAGGGAGGGAGAAATAACACAGAGGGAGGGAGAAATAACACAGAGGGAGGGAGAAATAACACAGAGGGAGTGTAGAATAACACAGAGGGAGGGAGAGGGGACACAATGACAGCCCACAAACATGTCTGTGCAGACACAATGACAGCCCATAAACATGTCTGTGCAGACACAATGACACTGCACAAACATGTCTGTGCAGACACAGTGACAGCCCACAAACATGTCTGTGCAGACACAATGACAGCCCACAAACATGTCTGAGCAGACACAGTGACAGCCCACAAACATGTCTGAGCAGACACAGTGACAGCCCACAAACATGTCTGTGCAGACACAATGACAGCCCACAAACATGTCTGTGCAGACACAATGACAGCCCACAAACATGTCTGTGCAGACACAATGACAGCCCACAAACATGTCTGTGCAGACACAATGACAGCCCACAAACATGTCTGAGCAGACACAATGACAGCCCACAAACATATCCATGTAGACACAATGACAGCCCACAAACATGTCTGTGCAGACACAGTGACAGCCCACAAGCATGTCTGTGCAGACACAATGACAGCCCACAAACATGTCTGTGCAGACACAATGACAGCCCACAAACATATCCATGTAGACACAATGACAGCCCACAAACACGTCTGTGCAGACACAATGACAGCCCATAAACATATCTGTGCAGACACAATGAAAGCCCACAAACATATCTGTGCAGACACAATGACAGCCCACAAACATGTCTGTGCAGACACAATGACAGCCCACAAACATGTCTGTGCAGACACAATGACAGCCCACAAACATGTCTGTGCAGACACAATGACACTGCACAAACATGTCTGTGCACACACAGTGACAGCCCACAAACATGTCTGAGCAGACACAATGACAGCCCACAAACATGTATGTGCAGACACAATGACAGCCCACAAACATGTCTGTGCAGACACAATGACAGCCCACAAACATGTCTGTGCAGACACAATGACACTGCACAAACATGTCTGTGCACACACAATGACAGCCCACAAACATGTCTGAGCAGACACAATGACAGCCCACAAACATGTATGTGCAGACACAATGAAAGCCCACAAACATGTCTGTGCAGACACAATGACAGCCCACAAAAATGTCTGAGCAGACACAATGACAGCCCACAAACATGTCCATGTAGACACAATGACAGCCCACAAACATGTCTGTGCAGACACAGTTACAGCCCACAAACATGTCTGTGCAGACACAGTGACAGCCCGCAAACATGTCTGTGCAGACACAACGACAGTCCATAAACATGTCTGTGTAGACACAATGACACTGCACAAACATGTCTGTGCAGACACAATGACAGCCCATAAACATATCTGTGCAGACACAATGACAGCCCACAAACATGTCTGTGCAGACACAATGACAGCCCACAAACATATCTGTGCAGACACAATGACAGCCCACAAACATGTCTGTGCAGACAAAATGACAGTCCACAAACATGTCTGTGCAGACACAATGACAGCCCACAAACATGTCTGTGTAGACACAATGACAGCCCACAAACATGTCTGTGCAGACACAATGACAGCCCACTGTCTAGAACTGCTCACAACTTACATCAGCACCATGAGCAATGATCTGGGTGAGAAGAGCGGCCCCACGGTTGTCCCACTTCAGATCCTGGTTCCGGCACTTGCTGTACAGGTACATGTGTTTGTTCATCAGATCCTGGGACAGGATGTTGTAAGACATGACCTTTATTTCCATGCCCCCAGCTTGCCTACGTGCCTGCCTGACTGTCTGCCATCCTCGTGGTGTGTCGGTAATTTCTGCAGGATATCAACAGGGCAGTTAGGCTCAAACATACAACAGCAGGTTCTGACAGCAAACAGCACATGTAAATGCGTACATGTAAAACCTAACAGAACAACCTACCAAACAACAAACAACCTTAGCATAAAACAACAAACAGTCACATAGTATCAATACTCCAGTAACCCTTTGACAGACATGACACCATTTCATCTTACAGTGGCAGATCCAGAATGTTTCTCCAAAGGTAATGAAGAGGTGAACTGATCACCTCACCTGAAGTGTCCCACCTTTGACAGTATGAGATGATCACCTCACCTGAAGTGTCCCCATTGGGTCCCACCTTTGACAGTATGAGCTGATCACCTCACCTGAAGTGTCCCCATTGGGTCCCACCTTTGACAGTATGAGCTGATCACCTCACCTGAAGTGTCCCACCTATGACAGTATGAGCTGATCACCTCACCTGAAGTGTCCCTGTTGGGTCCCACCTATGACAGTATGAGCTGATCACCTCACCTGAAGTGTCCCCATTGGGTCCCACTTTTGACAGTATGAGATGATCACCTCACCTGAAGTGTCCCACCTATGACAGTATGAGCTGATCACCTCACCTGAAGTGTCCCTGTTGGGTTCCACCTATGACAGTATGAGATGAACTCTTGCACTGACTGCCTCTAAGACCTCTATCTACAGGTGTTAATGACTGTGCAACAGGAAGTTTCTTCAGATGCCTGGTCAGCACCACACATTGTTGGATCATGACCCTGCAATCCTCTCTGTCATCCACAAATAGTCTTGTGACACTCATGTTCTTGTTTTTATAACGAAATGCCCATCCGTTCATCTTTTCCTGTGTGTCCTTCTCTATTTTTCTTTACCTTGTGCTGTTCCCACACAAACCAAGTGGATCTTGTAACAACTACAGATTTCAATACCTGGATCTTGTAACAACTACAGATTTCAATACCTGGATCTTGTAACAACTACAGATTTCAATACCTGGATCTTGTAACAACTACAGATTTCAATACCTGGATCTTGTAACAACTACAGATTTCAATACCTGGATCTTGTAACAACTACAGATTTCAATACCTGGATCATGTAACAACTACAGATTTCAATACCTGGATCTTGTAACAACTACAGATTTCAATACCTGGATCTTGTAACAACTACAGATTTCAATACCTGGATCTTGTAACAACTACAGATTTCAATACCTGGATCTTGTAACAACTACAGATTTCAATACCTGGATCTTGTAACAACTACAGATTTCAATACCTGGATCTTGTAACAACTACAGATTTCAATACCTGGATCTTGTAACAACTACAGATTTTCAATACCTGGATCTTGTAACAACTACAGATTTCAATACCTGGATCTTGTAACAACTACAGATTTCAATACCTGGATCTTGTAACAACTACAGATTTCAATACCTGGATCTTGTAACAACTACAGATTTCAATACCTGGATCTTGTAACAACTACAGATTTCAATACCTGGATCTTGTAACAACTACAGATTTCAATACCTGGATCTTGTAACAACTACAGATTTCAATACCTGGATCTTGTAACAACTACAGATTTCAATACCTGGATCTTGTAACAACTACAGATTTCAACTGGATTTAACAATACAGATTTCCTGGATCTTGTAACAACTACAGATTTCAATACCTGGATCATGTAACAACTACAGATTTCAATACCTGGATCATGTAACAACTACAGATTTCAATACCTGGATCATGTAACAACTACAGATTTCAATACCTGGATCTTGTAACAACTACAGATTTCAATACCTGGATCTTGTAACAACTACAGATTTCAATACCTGGATCTTGTAACAACTACAGATTTCAATACCTGGATCTTGTAACAACTACAGACAGACTACAGATTTCAATACCTGGATCATGTAACAACTACAGATTTCAATACCTGGATCTTGTAACAACTACAGATTTCAATACCTGGATCTTGTAACAACTACAGATTTCAATACCTGGATCATGTAACAACTACAGATTTCAATACCTGGATCTTGTAAACAGACTACAGATTTAACAATACAGATACATTCATGTAACAACTACAGATTTCAATACCTGGATCTTGTAACAACTACAGATTTCAATACCTGGATCTTGTAACAACTACAGATTTCAATACCTGGATGATCTTGTAACAACTACAGATTTCAATACCTTGATCTTGTAACAACTACAGATTTCAATACCTGGATCATGTAACAACTACAGATTTCAATACCTGGATCATGTAACAACTACAGATTTCAATTCCTGGATCATGTAACAACTACAGATTTCAATACCTGGATCTTGTAACAACTACAGATTTCAATACCTGGATCTTGTAACAACTACAGATTTCAATACCTGGATCATGTAACAACTACAGATTTCAATACCTGGATCTTGTAACAACTACAGATTTCAATACCTGGATTGTGTTTTCTGCTGTGTCCATGCTACTCTCAACATGCTTCTGAAAGAGTATATGTATCTCCGCTGCCACTAGGGTCGTCATCATCATCATCATCATTCAGCAAACATGGCTGACTGTCACTGCCACCAAACAGATTAGAAAAAAACACACACACATGATTAGGCTGACAGCCAGGACAACAAGCAAACCTTACAGGCTCACCTGGACAGGTGGTTGCTGCGGCAGGAGAGACATGAATCCTTCTGCCAGGTCTACAACTACTGGTGACCCACATGTCTGATCCTGAGGGACCAGGACATGGAGGCTTCAAGAATGGGTCACTGACCCACGGTGACTGCTGCTGCTGCTGGGGTGCTGCTAGGTAGGACCAGATAGAGCTTAGGGAACTGAACATGCTACCATTAGGTGCACGGAATGAAGGGTTTGGATCTGTGTAAGGAAGGTACCCATAAGAAACTTGTGAGTCTAGGCTCTGTGTTTGCAGAAAAGAACCAGGAGTCTGGTATCTGGGCCACAACTGACTGCCTTGGTGGGTCAAAGTGCGACTGAGCCGTGAATGTGGGCCAAAGCTGGGTGCAGTTCCTGCTGGATTGTTGAGCTGCGTTAGGAGACAATGATGTTGAAGACCTTGGAACAAATGCAAGAGCTAGAGGATCCAAGCTGCTGCCTGGAGGCCATGATGACGTAGAAGGGATGACATTCTTTGTGGCCATCATATCAGAGCTGCTTTCCTCTTTAAACAAACAGCTGTCCTTGAGTTCTCCAGGTGGAACTCTCTCATCTGTGCAGCTATCCTCTGATGAAATACTCATGTCACTGCCAGTCTGAGGCAATAGTTCATTCTGGTTCAAGTCTCCAAGGACATCTAACTCCGAGTTGATTTCCCCTTCCTCTAGAGCAATCGATGTTGCTGCACACTCGGGACCTTGGTCAACGGGTATTCCCTTTATGTTTACAACTTGTGATCTGGCTGTGCCTGACTGACAACTGTCAAATCCTGAAGACTCCCTACTGACACTGTCAATATCAAAGGCTGATGTGCCACTAGGGCCCTGTCTGCTCTCTCCAGTAGATGCAGCTTTGCTGGCCTTGTGCCCTGGCTTCTCTACCCTAAAATTTTCCCCTTCTGGTGACGACGAACTATTTCTACTTTGCCTGTAAACTTTTTAGGTGCGCTTGTTGTCATGGATTCATTATCATGTGCCTTGTAACTGTGGCGCCGCCTCTTCCTGTGTGCCTGGCATCTAACAAGAGGAGAACTCCCTCCATCAATGATCTCCCCTTCTTCCAGAGAAGACTGTTCCTTTGTTCTGGAGTCTTCCTTCTTGTGCAGAAACACATCCCCAGCTTTTGTTTTCTCACGGCTTCTGTTTGAGGTACAATTAGTTTCACTTTCAGAGGCGTGACGTTTTCTTTTCCTACGCTTCTTAGTTTTGATTCCCTCACCAGCAGGCCTGTCCACTGTCCTTCCTCCAGGCCCACCCTGATTTCCTGTTCCCAGATCTGGGGCTCCATGAACTGTTCTGGTCAAGAAGGGACCCTGAACTGGACTGGCAAAATCATGTTTGCTCGTGACAGTAGCACTCTGGGCTACCATGTGTTTCCCTTGACAGCCAGAATACTTGCTTTCTGTAGAGGTACCTTCAGTGTTAGTGTGTTCACTACAAAAGTCACCAGTCATTTTTTTTCCTGGATCGCTCCGACCTTTACCGTGTTCAGGATCATTGGCATTTTTACTTCTGCAGCCACTTAGTTTGGCATTTCTATTTTCATCAAGTTCACTTTGGTCAGTAGCTCTAGTTCTACTGTGTTCAATTTGGTTGCCACGAGTTTTCCTTTTTTTAGAATCACTCCTAGTTCTATTGAGTTCACTCTGATTGACATTTCTACTTCCGCCATGTTCACTGTGGTTTGCATTTTTTCCCCCACCGTGCTCATTTTGGTTGGAATTTCTAGTTTCACCATGCTCATTTTGGTTGGCATTTCTATTTCTGCCATGTTCATTTTGGTTGGCATTTCTATTTCTGCCATGTTCATTTTGGTTGGCATTTCTATTTCTGCCATGTTCATTTTGATTGGCATTTATACTTCTGTCGTGTTCATTTTGGTTGGCATTTATAGTTCTACCTTGTTCACATTGGTAGCCCCGAGTTTTCCTGTTCTTTGACTTAAATCTAGTTTTAGTGTGTTCACTTTGGCAGTCATTAACGTGGCCACTGACTGAAGCATCTGTTCTGTCAGAGGAGTCAATCTGTGAGCTCATAATTTTGCTTTTGACTGAGGCACTTCTAGTGGCCCTTAACTGGTTCTGAGAAGCAACAATGTTTCCTCTAGTGAAGATGCCCTTAGCCTCGGTGCCTGTCTGGTGAGAGACCGGAGCAGCGGCCTCCATGGGCGCATCCCTGGTACCTTCACTTTGGCAGATGTAGCTTTTGCCTCTCCTTGAGGCCCCCTGAGCTTGAACTGTTTCCCCTGAACTGGACATGGTCTTGTCTGTGTTCATGATGATGATCAGCCCCAACGCTGGACAGTTCTGGGTTGCTGGAGGCGGGGAGCTACGTACCGGGGACAGTGCTGGGTTGCAGGAGGCGGGGAGCTACGTACCGGGGACAGTGTTGGGTTGCTGGAGGCGGGGAGCTGCGTACCAGGGACAGTGCTGGGTTGCTGGAGGCGGGGAGCTACGTACCGGGGACAGTGCTGGGTTGCTGGAGGCGGGGAGCTACGTACCAGCCAGAGTCTGTACAGCCAGGAAGTGATGCTGACAATCTGTGGAGGACAGATGAATGCACCTTTTACATTTGTTATTGTTAAATTTCACACCTGTATATAAATATTTGTTGATAGATACATATAGACAGCTGTAGACAGACAGTTATAGACATATTTCTAGACATAGAGCTGTAGACAGTGTTGTAAACATAGTTGTAGACAGACAGTTGTAGACATATGTTTGGGACATCAATTATGATGTATCAAACTGTATGGCTACAGTAATTGATAAGCATCCATTGGAAGCAGCTAGACCAGATTTCTTCAGTATGTTGTGACCAACACAAGTGTAAAGAAAGAACACAGTAGGGCAGGACAGACTGGACAAGGACAAGCTCAATAGCTGAAGACTCTCAGCCCCAGATCAATAAACCATCTGGTGAACTCTACAGAAGCAAAGCTTGAATGTAGACACATCCCCACCTAAGGCCCAATTCCCCCCCCCCCCCCCATAGCTACTGGTGAAGTTGGAGAGTTGTTTCAGGTTAGCAGTTGAGTTAGCCAGACTAGATCTGATTCCGCCACAAAGTTGGGCTATCCTCTGAATAACCAGCACGAAAGATGGCGGCCGCAAAATATCCTTTTGAGCCTCAGTCACCTGTCAATTGCGCACAAGAGGTCACGAGCACATCGCGGGAAAACTAGGATTAGTGTCTGTTGACAATTTCGAGAAACGGAACAAACCGCCAAGTTAAACTCGCCGCCGAGAGTCTCCCCCGTGCCACTATGCGTGGCGCGGATGGGGCTAAACTAGATGGCATCTCCTGCAGCTTTGCTCGTGAGTCCTAGCCATCTAATTTAGCTCTAATCCACGCCGCTCATGCGGCGTTTGAGCTACTCTCGACGGTGGCCGTAGTCGCCGGAAGAGCGCAAATTAAGTCTCCGGAAGTGCACAATTGACACGTGACTGAGGCCCTGTTTTTGGCCGCCATCTTTTGTGCTCATTATTCGGAGCATAGCCAGTTTGTGGATGCTACTAAAGAGGAAGCTGCGTTACGAATCTTGTACGAGCCGCGCCTTGTTCCGATCGTAGCTGAGTTTCAATAGTGTAACAGCCACAAACAGCAGATTTTCGGGCACTATTTAAAACTTCTGTGCCATAATTTCCAGATATAAAGATAAAATTATCGGTAAGAAGTCAATTTGATATAAAAAAAAATTTTTCTTTATTAGTTTTGACTTAAATTTTTTAATGTTTACAACAGATGACACGTGACTGAGGCTCGTAGGGATATTTTGCGGCCGCCTTCTTTCGTGCACATTATTCGGAGGATAGCCTACCTAAAGTTGAGTAGTTCAAGTTCAGTGAGTCTCAGTCTAGCGACTACAGTTTCGACAATTTGCGGTCTTTTCGGCAATTTCCGTTACCCGGAAACCGTTCGCAACTTGTTTCGGGAAATCTCGGCTGGTTTCCGCATGGGTCAAAATCTCTTATGAAATTTTGCCATTGGTTGGAATTTGGACCAGCTATAAATAGCTGAAAACAGCGGGAGGGAACCCGATTAACAGCGCATGTCTACGACAGCCGGACGTCCTGTTTTTCTGTTAGTCATCAGTTTGATTGAAAATAGCGGTAAATTCGAGGTTGGCTTTAGGCTTTAACTGTTACTCGTCCTGGTAATGCTAGTTATAATTGAATTCTCCGTCCAATTTTACATTTGTGTATAAAATTTCTTTCTGGACGGTCGCTAGGTAGATGTACAGTGACATTTTTCAGGCAATCGCTGGCTCAGCCAGTGGCTGTGTCTCATTGCCAGCCATCTTGTCCAATGACAGTCCAATGTAAACAAAGCCGATACAGAACTGCGCAGTAGGTTGCGCAGAAAAAAACTTCTTGTTTCTGGGTCACAAGTTTTAGCGGCTGTTTCTTACATCTCATCCCACAAAAACCTACATATCTCAGCTCAGAAATGACATACAAGCCTAAATGAGGTACCATTGGAAAGAAATTGTTTACAGCTATCTAACTGTACTGGTTTTATTGGTGTAGAGGGCATTTTTACTGAAGTAGCTACTCAGTCTGCTCAGTTCGCAAGCATCTGATCTCATCACGGCGGCTTGCTTGTCTGCTAACGTTTATTCCCCGTTGTTTCTCCCACAACAAAATTAATCAACATTATAAATGTTTGCATTTGCCTTCTCTGACAAGTCAACAGACAATACAATAATACAATCGGGACTGGCTACTCAGGCTACTGGACTGGACTCACTCAACTTTGTGTGCTGTAGGATCCTACTGATGACTACTCACCTACAACAAAATAACCTGCCACGACAATCTAAGTTCTAAATGGCATTCAAATTATCTAGCTACTTCGATGTCTATCCACTCGGCACGTGGAGATAAAGTGTGAAGAAGACTGAAATCACTGACACAGAGACGAGGGAGTCCACAATCAGTACCCGCAAACCGCCATGACACCATCGTCTGTCTGTTGTTGTTGGTAGGGGAGGCTACTGTGACGGAGATCCTGGGCTGGGTAGACGAGAGTTGTCTCACATGGCGGTAAAGAGAGAGAGAGAGAGAGAGAGAGAGAGAGAGAGAGAGAGAGAGAGAGAGAGAGAGAGAGAGAGAGAGAGAGAGAGATCTGATTTGAGGGTCTAATGTGCACTAGAGAAATGTGTTGTGTTTTCACTTTACATTTGGCATTGCCAAGCGTGTTCAATCCTGCGATACAGAAGTTTGACGTCGAAGATGGCATATACGTGTTTCACCATACTTTACTCCCAGGTCACGCAATCGTCTTAGTGTCATCATTATCTGTGTCTGTTATTGCACTTGTTTGTTGACCGTCGTATTAACCCATAGCTGACCATTGGCGTCCAAGGCATCTCACGTCATGATGTTGAGAGCGACCAAGGCAGACACATAGTCCTATTAATTAAAATTGTTCACTTTTCTTTGTCCACTTTATTATTGCAGGCATAGATGTTGAGTAGAGTGAAAGGTTTACTTAAATCCTGACCTGCAATAGGATGTTGCAATTGTTCCTAACACTTGTGTCTACAACTGAGGATGTTATTTCGCACTTCACTAGGATTGCCTGGCCCAGGTGTTTGCTCTTGTAGTAACTGAAGAAGCCTGGGACATTCAGAGCTTCCTCGGAGTTCCGCCAGGTCATCAAGACTGGGTCTCTCTGAGGAACGCTACATCAGCTTCAGAATAGAATTCGGAGATGGCGCGTCTATGGCGAATAAAGTATACCTTGGACACCTTAACTTGCAGTGCCGCATTCTTTATGTCAGACGTGAACATGGAACACAGCTGATTTCTTGTCTCGGACAGTAACAAACTGTATTGACGCTCAACGCTGCGCTGGTTTCTGGCCAACAGTAATAGAAGGTAACAGTAATAGGTAGTAATAGGTAGGTTAACCAACTCGACGGCAAGCACAAGACAATTACAATTTTTTTAAGCCAAGGAATTTAGGACTTTAATAATAATAATAATAATAATAATAATAATAATAATAATAATAATAATAATAATAATAATAATAATAATAATAATAATAATGATAATAATAATAATAATAATAATAATATTCAAATATGAGTCATGCGAACCTAGGAATGATGAATAAGATTTCACTCTGTGTATACGACTTCTTCGTGATAATAGTTTGCTGATACAATGCATCTGAAAGATTAACTAATATTGTAAAGTGTTGAACAAAGAATAGACACACACAGAATGAGAGAGAGAGAGAGAGGGAGAGAGAGAGAGAGGGAGAGAGAGAGAGAGAGGGGGGAGAGAGAGAGAGGAGAAATATTGGCTTGGCTGACATAGACTTTCCAGGATTCAGATCGCAGTTGGAAGATCTGAGCTTCCATGTACCGACCATTACCGAGTTCCTCCCCCCTCCCCCAGCATACACAAAGCCACTCTAAGGTTACTGCCACAGCAGGGATTTGTGGTGAGGTCGTCGCACGCTTTTAGGTCCACACTTTCAGGTCCTTACTTTCAGGTCCATACTTTCAGGTAAACACTTTCAGGTCCATACTTTCAGGTAAACACTTTTAGGTTCATACTTTCAGGTAAACACTTTCAGGTCCATACTTTCATGTCCACACTTTCAGGTCAACACTTTCAGGTAAACTATTTTAGGCCCATAATTCTAGGTCCACACTTTTAGGTCCACAATTACAGATTCACACATACAGGTCCACACTTTCCGGTACACACTTTAAGGTCCATAATTCTAGGTCCACACTTTAAGGTCCACAATTCCAGGTCCACACTTTTAGGTCCATAATTCTAGGTCCACACTTTCAGTCCATAATTCCAGGTCCACACTTTCAGGTACAAACTTTCGGGTCCACAATTCTAGGTCCACACTTTCAGTCCACAATTCCAGGTACACAATTTCAGGTCCACAATTTCAAATCCACACTTTTAGGTTCACAATTCCATGTCCACACTTTCAGGTCCACACTTTCAGGTCCACACTTTTCGGTCCACAATTTCAGGTAAGCAATTCCATGTCCACATTTTCAGGTCCACAATTCTAAGTCCACATTTTCAGGTCCATACTTTTAGGTCCACAATTCCAGGTCCACACTTTCAGGTCCATACTTTTAGGTCCAAACTTCCTAGTCCACACTTTCAAGTCCACA